TGTGTGTGTGTGTGTGTGTGTGTGTGTGTGTGTGTGTGTGTGTGTTTCCAGAGCAACGACGCCTCAGGGAGTGCGTGGAACTGGATGTACTTCATCCCCTTAATCATCATCGGCTCCTTCTTCATGCTCAACCTGGTGCTTGGTGTGTTGTCAGGGTACGTCTTTTTCTTTGTGCTTTTACAGGTGTGACTAAAACTGCACCACAGTCATTTTCAAAGTATCTACAATGAAGGTGTCCATTTCATTTTTCCTGTGCGTCCGTTTAGGGAGTTTGCCAAAGAGAGAGAGCGTGTGGAGAACAGGAGAGAGTTCCTGAAGCTCCGAAGACAGCAGCAGATTGAAAGGGAACTTAATGGTTACCTTGAGTGGATCTGCAAGGCTGGTAGGTGCAACTTACTGTACAAACTGTTTCTACGTATTGTGACTCGGATCATAAAAACTGCTAGCTGTATCACATTTATTTTTTAAAGCCTAAATTATTTAGCGCAAACCTGTATTGTATGAAAACCTTGAGCAAAAGACCACATTTTTTAAGTATTTAACGTTAATAAACAAATATATTTGTGTTTGAATAATTATTTTAAACAATTAGAGTGCCATTCCTGATTATAGCTAAGCAAGGCTATAATTTTATTTGGTTTTTTTTTTTTTTTTTTTTTTTTTAAATCTTGATACAAGTAAGGAAAGTGAGTCTTTTTCTACAATGATGGAAGACACATAATAGATTTTAAGAATGTTTATTTATTAGGGATGGGCATTTTAATCCAAACCACTCTCCGAATTTGTACTTTGTAGGTAGCCATTAGATTTTTCTTCAAATATTTAAGTTGTGGTGAATAAAGTTTACTCACCCCAAGTTTTTCAGCTGAAAAGCCCTCATATGAAGCAATAACTTCTGGTAGAGAGACGTACTGCTGCTATTTTTGCTAGCTGAACTTTATATTTTAAATTTTCATCTGTCTATTGTATCAATGTGAAGGGGAATGCACATACTTTGCAGTGAAGCTGCGCTCACCTGGAACCATTGTTTCCACTTGATAATTCTTTCAAAATAAACTACACTAGCAAAAATAGACACTAGAACCGAGTTGTTTTTGTTCTTTAATTTGTTTGTTGGTTTTTAAAGTTGGGGGATGGTGGTAGGTTTTTGACAGTTGAAGCTGGAAACAATTTCTGACTACTAGGTTCTGCTGTAAAATAAACTACGGTAAAGCTTATGGTCATTTAATTTTCTAATTTTCGCCCATTTTTAACTAATCTATTACTGTAATATAATCACACTCAATGATCAGAATATTAGTTTCTCTCTGTTTTTATAATTTAATGTCAGACACCCGAAAAGCTTTGGTATTAGTAACTTAATTAGCTGGGTTAGCTGCCTTGGTAATTAGCCTTCATGCTAATTCCTGTTGTTTGTCGCAATTTATTATTATTTTTTTTTCAGAACAAAGTTATCTTTAAAAGGTGATCATGTGTAGTCCTCTAAGCTATGGCTGTGGATGAAACAGCTAATGTTTTTTGTTTGTTTGTTTGTTTATTAATCAAAAATAAGTTTAAGGGTGTTTCCCCCTCTGATAGCGTCATAAACAGCTGACCAACAGCTCAAATACAAGAAGAGCTTGAAACCTGCACCATCTGGCAAATTGTAGAATTAATAATAAATACAAATATTAAAATACCGGAAACTTTATGATTTAAAAAAAAAAAGTTAGCATAGTTTGAACTAAATATATTGTAATTGTTGGCTGATTTGTCAAAATTATCAAGTTTACACTCAGTCAAACTAACCTCCTTTTTTAATTTCTAAGTTTTTTTTCATTCAATTCAACCTTTATTTAGACAGGTAAATCCCATTGAGCCTCAAGGACTCATTTACAAGAGAGACCTGATTTCAACAAAGAATGATGACAACAATGGACAACAGCGACAACAATAAACAGTTATAAAAAGTCATACTACAGTTTTGTTCTTTTGTTTTTTTCGTATGTTCCAACCATTGTTTCTCAGCTACACTTGAAAACAACTCAACATTAATGTTAGTTCTGGATAATTATTATTTTAATCATGCTCAATTGACCATCGTTGGACCGGTATACCAGTGAATCAATTGCCGTTTTTTTTTTTTTTTCTTGTTCTGTCACTCATTTGCTGAGAGCAAGAAAGCTTTATGGAAGGTATGAAAGGATGGTTAGTTTGTAGATGTCAGAGAAATTAACAAAAAGTAAGACAGAAGGAACAGACCTTTGATCATCTCATAAAGACCACATTTACATTGGTAAAAACAACTAATGGGTAAGGATTAGGAACTCAATTCACACAGGTGCAGTCTTTGTTTCTAGTTTAATTAAAAACTGAAATGAAAATGGGTTAAAAAAAAAAAGGTTTTGTCTATTCCAGACATTTTAGAAGTTACAGTAATGTATTTTTGGACAGAAATCAGAAAACAAAATGTTTTAGCAACAGCTGTACAGATAAAAACAGTAACGGTATTTGAATTTCTTGACAAATGTATTAAATGGTCTTCAATTTTTAGGTTTTACTTATTACTTTAATGTTTCTAATTTTTTATGAGATTATTCATGAATTGCTGCAGTGTAGCTATGTAAAGTCTTTAGGCTTTTTTTAAATTATTTTATTCGGCTGTTGTTTTGTTAATTAATCAAGTTTGGTTCATTTGTCATATGCAAAAATCGACACAAGGTCAACAATGCAATGAAATGCTGAGGACGAGAAGAACCGTCTCAACTCACCAAAAAAAGAAATATCAACAAGAAATACCAAAGCATGCAGCAAAAATACAACAAACAAAGGCGTCAAAAGTGAAAAAGAAATACAGTGTGGTTTGGTTAGCAGTGACGTTCTTTCAGCAGCATGGTTCTGTTCTGTTAGCGGCTTGATCTTGTTAGCAGGTCTTGTTAGCAACGTTAGCAGGTCTTGTTAGCAGCGT